CGACTTTGTATCAACCGGAACCCACCAGGCACAGCCTGGATATGTCTCCGCACGCGAAAGCCCGCGCCCCAAGAAGTACACCTCTATTGCCCTAACCTCAACCGACAAACTGATGCCGAGCCAAGGATATCAAGCAACAAGCACGACGTAGCGCCTCGGGAGTATTGCCTTATGTTATTTTACGCTTCGTTGTCGGATGATTGTAACCAGCAAGCCCGGTAGAACCACGAGCTAGAATTCCTGCAACGCTTGGTTGACAAACCGCTAGATCCAGCTGAGCCGGGCATGCATGTAAAGCGCATTATTCGTCTTGGCCAGCGCTCAAGCAATCATCCGCGACACCTAAAAGTGATACTTGATGACGTCAGCTTCCCTGTGCTTGTACACTTGTCTGGAACCTCTAAAGGGAATGAAACTACATACGTCCAGATACCGGCCCACAACGGCGTGCGCTGCTCAAGACGGCTAATCTGGAATTAAATTCCGCGTGCAAGACGGTGAAGCTGATCTACGAAACATACATTTTCATGTTAATCTCAAGAAAATCTTTATCAACAAACCGAGCCTACTAATGTCACGAGAGACCCGCGGATAGCGTTCACGAATGTGCGTAGCTTGAGTAACGTACGGGACGAACTACAACCTTGGATCGCTCAAGGAAAACCGGACGCCTTATGGGTTGTGGAATCATGCCTTAATGAGGTAGTACTGGATGATGAACTAAACAAGCACGACTACGTTCCTTTTCGCTGTGCTCGTGAATTAATTCCACACGGTGGCATGCTGCTGTACACAATTTTTGGCTGTTGACAAGATAACTTTGTGTTAACTTTCTGCGTTCATTGGAAGTATTTCGTGGAAATTGAACTAAAATTCAGTTTCATTTTCGATTCTGAAATTTCCGACCAGAAATACTTGTGTTTTCATCACTTGGTTTCGGCAATCTTGCTATCGCCATTTTCTTCGTCAATTGGCCGCCATCTTTTTTTCGGAGTATTCACTATGCCGAAGCAGTCATCCTGTGGTACGTGCTCCAAACTAGTCGGATACCGTGCAAGTGCCCTCACGTGTGTTTTGTGCCAAGTAAAATATCACATTTCATGTGTTGGATTATCAATTGAGCATTTTCATCGTCTTCGCGAGATCCAACACGATTTCATCCAAACTGTATGTGAAAATTTGCCGAAATAAGATACAGCCAGAAAGAGTAAAGCCAACGTGTAGGCCTCGGCGTTTCGTTGAAAACAGCTCCCTGTATTTGGCCCAACAACCTAGCGCGAAGAGCCTTCAGGTTTCGGCTCAGTCGTCCTCCTCTACCCGTGCAAACTCACCGACACCAAGTCCAGCCGTTGTGAGAAGGCCAGTTGCACGTGGCCTAAATTGTTTACCTTTGTTGTGTCCAACGGACACTGATGTCCCAGCACGTGAAAGTCTGAGTGCTGAAGACCAGTGGAAAGAACAGAGGACGAAATTACGAAGGAACGTTGGGTGTTTACGTTCTGTAAGTCAACAGTTAGCCAAACCACGTGAGGCTGGTAGTATACTTCGCCCTGCAAGGCCAACCTAGTCCTACCAGAGGCGTTATAATCTCGTGCTCTTTCACGCACCGGAGTCCAGTGATCCATCACCTCAAGTGCGCTATGATCACGAGGTCGAGCTTTTACAGGGTTCAATTGATAGACTCCTCGATGCTGGTGAGGACTCCGTAAAAGTGAGGCACATTACCCGTCTTGGAAAACAAGCTGATCAACAAAATTGGCCTATGAGAGTCACTTTTGTGGACGAAGCCAGTCCAAGACTGATCATGTCTCGCCTAAGTAGGCTAAAAGGTTTGAAAATCCATGTTCACCCCGACCTGGACCCAGTAGACAGGGAGCGGCTCAAGTCTGCCATCAGTGAGTTGAAAAGAAGCACTGGTGAGGGGAAACAAATCTTCGTATCGTAAATTTTCGGGTGGTTTCCAAGGATCCGCGAATCAGGATAACCAGGCTGCTCACACTTCAAGCACGCCCGGCGGCTCCTGCTGCGGCCTGCGAGTAGCCTTCACAAACGTTTGCGGTATTATGAATAAGCGCGATGAGCTTTGTTATTTCGTTGCGTCTGAGCGGCCAGACGTAGTAAGACTCGCAGAGACATGCCTTCATGCAGAGTTATACACTCAAGAACTTGAACTCAACGGTTACTCGTGTTTCCGATGCGATAGACTAAATAATGCCCACGGTGGTGTCTTACTTTACATCCGGTCTTCCCTGCGTGCGAGACTTGTGAGCACCTACCGAAGTAACGATGGCCTGTGTGAGCTACTGTGGTGCTCCATCCGCCTCAGGCGCGAAGAACTGCTTGTGGGCGCAGTTTATCGCAGTCCCCTGAGTCGTTGTTTGGATTGGCTGCCCCATCTTCAAGCCCACATGAGTCGTCCAAACTTTCTGCTTATGGGCGATTTTATCTGTCTTCAAATACGATGGCCTGATGTGCGTTTGATGCCTGGACATATTGAGGTTGAAGCGAAGTTCGTGGATTTGGTACTTGAAACTGGTGCATTGCAACACATATGCCAGCCAACACGCATATCAACACGTTCCACCTCGTCCTGCCTCGACCTGATGTTAACGAGCCACGCGCAACGAGTGCGTGACGTTAGGATCCTGGAGCCCCTGGCTACGAGCGACCATTCAGTACTGATAGCTGATATGGAATTGTCTTTGCCGTATTCACATCCGCTGCAACCAGCTCCCAACTACTGGAGAATGGACTTCGATGGTCTAGCTCGAGCCGCGAGCCAACTGGATTGGTCGCTGTCACAAGCTGCATCTGTGGAAGATTGTTAGACATTTATAAAAGAGAGATTGACATCATTGTGTTCCCAATTTGTGCAATTGAAACGTCGAAAGGTTGGACCCATTAAGCCTCATTGGTTTGATAAGGAGTATGGAAACCTGGCTCGGAGGCGGCGCAGACTGTGGAACAGTTTCCTTCCCTCTGGCACTGCCAATGATTACAAAGGGTATAAATGTCAGCGGAACCTCTGCAACAGTGCGAAAAGGAATAAACGCCTACACTTTGAAGTGCAGCTTGCATTAGCCGCGAAGACCGCCCCAAAGAGAATCTTGCATACGTGAAGCGACGCCTGAAGCCGGCAGGTGATGTGCCAGTGCTGGATGGCACGGATGGACAGCCCCTAACCTCCAGCACTGAGCGTGCGTCCGCGTTGGCGGCGCACTTCGCTTCTGTATTTGCGAATAACCAGGTGTCTGTTCCGAGTTCGACGTGTACCGCTTTTACCGAACTCGATAGTCTGCAATGTGACGTTGAAGAGGTAGCTCAACTACTAGCTAACCTTGACGGCACCAAACCTGCCGGACCTGATGGGCTTCACCCACTGGTTCTCAAGTCACGTTCAACCATCCTCGCTCCTGTCGTGACTGACCTTTTCAACAAATCGCTGTCCAAAGGTTCGTTGCCGGTTGACTGAAAATGTGCGGTGGTGAAGCCTATTCCGAAAGGCGGCGACCCTAGCAAAGTAGACAATTGCAGGCCAAGTGTCTGACACCTATTTTGGCAAAGGTTGCTGAGAAAATCGTGAAGGATAGATTGCTGCAGTTGCCACAGATAAACGAGGTCCTGACGCCCGCACAGCACGGTTTTATGAAAGGCCGCTCATGCATTACGAACCTGCTTGTGACGAGGCATGAGTGGTTGAAGGCAGTTAACAAGGGGAAGTCCGTCGATGTGATATTCATCGATTTCAGTAAAGCGTTCGACAAGGTCAGTCATGAGGTTCTCCTTCACAAACTCAGCATGTGTGGCGTTGGTGGCTCTCTGCACCGGTGGATCAGCGACTTTCTTGTTGGACGAAATTGGAGGGTACAGGTCGACGGCCATCTAATTGATTGGTACCCCTCTACAAGTGGCGTGCCTCAAGGCACTGTGCTGGGACCCACCCTGTTTCTGAGCCACATCAATGATCTACCGCAGCTTCTCCGGTCGCCATGTGCATTGTTTGCGGACGACCTGAAGATTTGGAGAGGAATCGACGCTCCCGATGACTGTGGCCTACTTCAGCAAGATCTCAACCGCTTATCCACATAGTCTGCAGAAGTTCTTCTCCCGGTCAACCCAGCCAAGTCCGTATTTATGAGCGTGGGGAAGGGTGCTAACGGCCGAACCTACACTCTTGACGGCCAAACGCTATATCCCACACCCTCCGTGGATGACCTAGGTATACTCTCACGCTACGGTTTGAAGTCCGTGGACAACACGAACAGGCTATATCGGAACGAACTGCACATGCTTTTGGCGCTCAAACGTAGCTTCCGCACATGGTCTGAAGAGGTTGCCACTCGCCTGTTCTCTTCTATCATTAGACCAATGCTAGAGTACGGTTCGCCCGCCTACTTTCCGATTACCCGAGGCGAGGCACAAAAGATCGAACGGGTCCAACACGTTGCTACTAGGCTCATCCCGAGTTTACTTGGCTTTGGGTATGAAGACCAGTGCGAGAAACTAGGACTCTACACCTTGTCACACCGTCAGGTGCGAGTCGACCTCATTATGACCTACCAAATTCTATATCTTGGTGAGTTCCCCATGCTAAGGCCAATACTGCATTTACGAGGGCCATGCAGCACACGCGGACACAGATACAAACTTGTCGTGCCGGATATGAAATGTGTTCCCCACCCACTGTGCTTCGAAAGAAGAGTGGTAAACATTTGGAACAGTTTGCCCGAACATGTGATTGAGGCAACATCTGTGCAACAGTTCAAAACGTTGTTAGATTTGTATTTTGCCTCTATTCGATTCAGAGAACGACTGCACACTTACGACGACATATCACATTTGTGAATCCTGAAATATCGTAATTCGAATATTTTACATATTACATGAGACCGACAATGATATTCACGGTTGACAAGTTTATAACGTTTTTCGCCATATTTCGAAAGAGTTGTACAGAATCCATTTCTACTTGCTCTATAATACAGTATTCAGTATTCAGTATGAAATCTGCATACCATGCCTACCGGAGTTGTGGCGGACTCTCCGAACAAATCTGCTGTCCGACAAAAGTAGCTCAAGGGCTACTTCATGTCGGAGTCGTGTATCCAAATCCCGTGAATAGTGCCGCTGACTGGATTGAAGCCCTTCGTGCACACGTTCGAGGACGTAAATTTTTATTAATGGACGCCTTCAAGTTCCCGCATTTCGATTGGTATGTCCACGACTGTTTACCAGGAAGTAGCCTGATTGAGCAAATGTTCTTGAACATGGTGCTCGAAGCGGGTCTGGTTCAGCACATGCTAATGCTTACTAGACTGCTCCCCGGCACATCTCCAGCCTGCCTGGATCTTATCTTGACCAATTCCGAACAACCTGTCTCATCACACTACACAGGCCAATTGGAAACGGCGATCATTTGATCCCTTTAGCCAGACTGCACCTACCGCAATCACGCGACCCCGCTCCGACGCCGCGTCATAACGTTGAAAATGCTAAACTTGCCAGTATGCACCGAGAGGCCAAGTCGTTTCATTAGTTCCTTCTGGAGGGTGACTCAGTCCAGTCATCCTGCGCAAGCCTCAGGGGCAAGCTTAAGTCGCTATGCGATAACTATTATTCTGCTCAGATGCTACACCAAAAACATACGTTGCCACCGTGGTACGATACAAACTTTTGTAAGTTAGCCAGGGGTCGTAAGAAGCAGTGGCTGAAATATCGGCAAATCATGGAGGCACTTGTCTACATGGTCTACACAACCCAACGTAAAATAAGCACTACTTCCAAGCTGCCGAAACGCGCAGCTTATGAGTTATCGTTAGTGGATTCTGCCAAATCGGTTCCAAAGAAGCTCCTTATATATGTTAACCGAGGTTTTAAACCGAAGGATTCGTGGCCCACACTTGAACATTCCCGCGGTCAACTAAGCTTTTCAGTTGAGAGGACAGCTTCGCTCCTAGAGTCTCACTTCGCCTCAATCTTCTTTCCGTGCCAGTCACCAGACGATCGCTGACTCTAGCCTACACCCAGTAATAGAAGCATTGAGGTGCACCGCTGATGAAGCCGCTGTCATGCTGGAGGCCCTTGATACGTCCAAATCTCCGGAACCGGATGGTTTTCATTCCTTAATCCTGATAACACTGGCTACTGTGATAGTTAACCCCATCTGATCTGGCCAATACGGAGAGTCATTGTCCAGTATGGAGAGCTGGACATGTCTTCAAACTCCCGAAAATTATACACCTGAAAAATCCAGATATCAGAACGTTTGGAACTTTGCTCACCTGGATAAATAAAAAGAAAAATATTCGTCAGGTTCCCGTCCCCAACCGGGCTCAACAATTATGGTGGCCCTGATCAAGCCAGCTGTCCAGCTGATGATGGAAGTCGGAAACCATTTGACTGCGAATAACCGAATATGAAAGCAGTCGTTACGCGGCTTTCCCATTTTTAATTCAGTGTTCAAAATGTTTTATGTTAGTGTTGCAGGATATGGTGGGTTTTGCCTGGCAAGGGTTCCACCTATAAACTTCACAAACGTCTGTTTAACAACACTGCGACGTGGCGGATGTGACTGGCCACTTAATAAAGTAACTGATTATACACTGGCAAGTCGACTAGAGTCATATTTCTACTTTTTCCAACACATGCAATTATATGATACACTCTGTCTGTATATACCTTTTCACTGCACTTATAGTGTCTTTACAGTTTGCACTACGAACAATTGAACCTAAGTATCGTCTTGAAACAAAACTGCCTGTATACCTTTATCATGCCTGATTTGGTATGTCTACATACATTAGAGAATAAACTATTTATTCATTTATTTATATCGCTGGGTCACGGATTGCTTCCTCGGGAATGGAAGGGTTCCGTTGTGAAACCTTTCCCTAAAGGGTGTAGCCCGCACCAGTCGGAAAATTATCGTCCAATGTCTGACAACAGTAATCGAAAAGGCTCTGGGAATGGTAGTAAAGAATGCCCCGTTGCAGGTGGTGGAGACAGGCTGAATCCTCAACGCAGCTCAACACGGGATTTTAAGCCAATGTTCTTGTGTGACGAACTTGCTTGTGTCCCGGCAACCCTGGGTGAGGGCGTTAAAGGACGTTATCGGCGTTAACGCCATCGCGGTTGGTTTCAGCCAAGCGTTCGGCAGAGTTGCTCACACCGGACTGCTAAACCGACTTAGTACTTACAGGATTTGTGGCACTCTTTTTCGGTGGACTAAACCGTTCCTTGAGGACAGGCGCTGGAGGGTTAAAGTACATGGTTACTATACTGATCGACTTGCCTCCCCGAGTGACGTACCCCGGGGTATAGTGCCTGGACCTACCCTGTTTCTTATACCCGCCAATTAGGTGAATGAAAGGCTGAACGCTCCCTATGTGTTGTTTTGCTGGTGACCTCAACTTATTGCGCGAGCTCGGAGGGGCAGAGGACCATGTCATACTCCAACAGGAAGGATCAGCTTGTTGCTTGGTCGCAACAGCGGAAACTGCCCAGTACTCCCACGAAGTGCGGATGTCTGCGTATCAACGGACAGCCATGAACGTTCATACTCCTTGGATGGAAAACAACTGCCTCCCGTTGCTGGTGTCCGGGAGCAGGGAGCGTAGTCACGCGGAGACCTCAAGTCATGTAAACATAAATAATAAACATATAATGTGTCAGCTGTGTACCGTGACGGCGCTTCGTTGCCACGCTACCACTAAAAGGAAGTTTCTAAACGTGGACAGAGGAACCAATTCTTAAAGTTTGCCCTGCACAAATATGTCCCTTCTTGGAATACGGCGCACCAGCTTACCGTCCCTATACCCGGGGTGAGGCTAGGACTCTAGATAGTGTGCAACGGCTGGCTACGCGGATGCTTCCTTCTCTTCGGACACTGGAGTACCCTGACATAAAGCGACGATTAAGCATGCATACAATAGAATACCGGCGACTAAGAATGGACCTCATTGTCGTATTCGACAATTACGGCTGAGACAGTTACCGTCCCTTAGTTCGCTGTTTAAAATCAATGAAACCAGCATTACAAGAGGCATCGATGCCAGCTAGTATTAACACGCTTAGACTATGTTAAACGTGTTTACTGCTTTGAATGACGAGTCATGCCTAATTGAACTCGTCTACCAGCAACGATTGCGCAGTCCGAAACCCTAGTGTTAGACCTTCACCTTTACTCGCTATGCCGAATTACACACCCAAAATTGCTCCGTAAAAGTTCTAGCCCAGCCAAAGAGAAAGCAAAACTACAACGACCATGGCCAAGCAAAGCGTGTTAACAAAAAGCTGCCAACGTACCCAAACTTGCCGCCAAAACGCTGTATACTCCACTCTGAAGTAAAGTAAAATTAGCTGGGTAAGTAAAAACTTGTTTGACCGCTCGGTCGATCGCCTGCGCGATCACACAAAGTAGGCGATTCCTCTCAACCCATTTTTAAGTCACTATTACATACGTTCCCATTTCTTTTCTTTTCTAATTCGTGTGTTGCATGTTCCATAGCCTCTCCCTTTATGATTTTACCATTTTTCCCGGTACCTCACTTCTTGCTGCAGCTGCCGTAGTGTATGGTGCTAGCCTGAGATTCACCTGGATCCACCTGGTCCATCACCTTGGATTTAGTGTTCTGGATTCAAATTCGGTGAACTGCGGTCTGGTACCATCCGTCTGATGACAGGATTATTCTACTGGCTCTTTAGGCAAGTTGAAGCTGTTTGTTAACAGGTCAAACGGTAGCTCGGCGGATTCTGTTTCTATAGGTTGACGCATTCTTTGTCGCACTTTGTTTGTCTAGCTTACTCGTTCCTTCATTCCAATCAGCACGATGTAAAGGACGCTTTCGCGCTTGCCCTGGATCATGACTGACGTTCTTTTCTAGTTTTTATCCCGATGCTCACTTACAAGTACTGGCTGACCCGATTTAAACGAACATCGCTTGGCACCACACCGCCGATTCAAGTCATTTTCCAGCTTAAGATATCTTTCACCAGCGGTGGTTTCTAAAGACGGCCGAACTGCATCAAATGGCAAGCAAAGTTTTCTCGTCAGCATTGCCTCTGCTGGTGATATTCCACACTGCTTTTGTGGATTTTGTACTCGGTACAGAGAGAGGAAGCATTCAATAACCTCCCCTATACTCCCTTCCTCCTTGCTTTGAGGCGAATGCGTTGAATGTATCCATTCTTTGGTGGGTGAAAAGATGGAGAGCGCACGTGTTTGCTGGTGCAGCGTTGGCGGAATTCCTTGAATGGGGCCGAAGTAAGCTGGGCTCCATTATCCGTCACCAACCTTTCAGGGCAGCTGAACCTGCTGTAAGTTTGTCGCAACTTCGAGACTGTTGCTCTGGCTTTCGTGCTTCTCATGACACTTCGGGCACCTGGGCCATTTGCTATAAGCGTTGACTAATATGAGAAATTCCTGGCCGTTGATTGGGCCTGCAAAGTAGAGAATAAAACAGCTCCAAGGATTAGTTGGTTTAGGCAACGAGTGCAGTTCTTTCTTCGGCGGTGCCCTTGATGCGACTACGCAGTTGCCATCACGTCCAGCTAGTTGATTCAGCTGCCTGTTCTTAAATGGCCAAGACGCATAACTTCGGACAAGCGCTTGCATTCGGTTGAGCCCTGGATGTCCTGCAGGGAACGGCCGCTGCACCCTTCCGTTCAACGCCTGAGGGACGACTAATCTCTTTGCGAACATGACGCAATCGTTCACAATGAAGTGCGGTGGTTTTCACTGATAGAACTGCTGCATTTCTGCAGCTGAACACGAACGTGGCCAGCTGGTTCTGCGGAAGTGTGTTATCTTCTTCAGGATTGGCTCTCGAAGCGTTTCGGCTCGCATAGCATCGGTCGTAACTGGCGTACCATGTAGTGCGTTGCTCACCAGGAGTTTGGCATCAGGTTCGATCTCAACTGAGACAATGATTGTGTCCTCGTGTTCATGCTACTGGGAAGCAATGAGGCATAACCACGCATCTGCCTGGCACATCGAATCCGTTGACCAATATATCCGATTCCGACAGCATAGCCCAACAAGGTGAGTGCCCACCCTTGGAGTCGATTGGCTGTATAGACAGGAATTCCCTACTTCGTGTCGAAAATGGCCAGCAGTGGTTTATGATCCGTCAAGCGTTTGAAGCGGTGACCATACAGCTTTTTGTGAAAGCGCTCCGCAGCAGACACCATGGCCAATGCCCACTTCTCGATCTGACGGTAGTTCCTTTCGACGTACGTCAGCCACCCGGCCGTATGTGCGATCGCCTTCTGAGATCTAGCTGGGAACGTGTGGGAAACTACAGCACCCATCCCTGGGCTCGATAGTCTGTGGTAAGGACAACTTCCCGGGAGGGATCAAAGTGAGTTAGGAGTACGTGTGATGCCAGCAACGACTTGACCGGCTCAGACGCAGTCTGGCATT